TTTTTTTTGTTGAAGAGAGTAAGGGTTGAAGGTGTGACTGTCAAATTGGGGAATGAACTGACCTTGGTTTGATGATGCAACATACCCCTGAGCACTGCATTGTTCTCGTTAGTGGCCACCCAGAGATATAATCATCAGGTATGTTACAGAAGAGTGCTGCACTCGTTGAAGGAGTTAAAAGCTCAAATACTGGGTGACAATTCAAGAAGTCATCTGGTGCCAATTGTTAAGACCTCGCTCGGACGGGTTCGAGTCCCAGTCAGAGTGTATAAGAGTAGGGAAGCGTGTTTTTGTTTTATTAGGAGCCATATGGGGATTAAGTCATGCATATCCTTCATCTTCACAGAAGGGACAGTATCTACTGGCTTCTCCAATTGCATTGTTGGAGCTCATGCTTTTGTCTGAGAGAAAATAGTCTGACTGGCCATCAGTTTGTACGACTACGGTAGTGTATCAGCTGTAAGTTGTATGTGGACATAATTGGGGTTCGAATCCCTTTGTACGATGCCAAAACGATGATGAACAGGTCCTTTTTTTTTTTTTTTTGCAGTGCAACAGTATTCCTGAAACAGTGTATCAAGGCTAGGGTTGAAACTCTGCATTTTCCGATGTGTATTCAAGTGGTGTGATGGCGGGGAGATGCAACAAAGATGCAAAGCAGATAGATAACACCGATCATCATAATAGACTCACATTTCGCTCCCGTTTGGGGAGTATAGTATGCGAAACTGTAAAATCCATGAAACACTTTATGAATAACAGTCACTTTGATGAAAGTCACCCTCCACACTATCATGAGTGGTCCACTCGAATCTGATGATTGAATGACCTTAACAGGGTGAAGGGAAGGGATTCATCTTTGCTTGCATGGAGAATTGCAAGCGCAGGATCACTATCCACGCTGAATGAAGTACAAAAACGCGTTTGTTGTGACCATTTTGGGCATTTGGAGAGTGGTCCAAGGAGAAGGAGGTGCAGAGAATATGGCGCAATGACACGGACTTGGAGGGAACCGTGACCAGCCTTATATACCGAGGGCGATACTCGTGAAATCATCAACAGTCCGAATTGATCAGGGAGCGTGGGGTTTTGACTATACGATTGGCTTCCCTTCGCGTTGCTGGTGGCCATGTCCAAAAGTGGGAGGAGCATGGTGGTTTTCATGATGATGGAAAGTGAATATGCTCTGGTTGGCTTTATTCATGGTATGCATCAGATGTGGAACAGAGCTGTACAATGGATGTGATGGAGTGGGAACACCCTTGACAAAGGCGCCGAACCAGGACTGAGCTTGATGAAGGAGAGCGACAGAGATGCAACTGCTATCTAATCTCTGATAGGACATTGGTAAGTACACTTGAATCTGGGTTCGACTCCCGGGTCGGGGAATATATCTGCTCCGTGGTTTTATGCAGAGTCATCTTCAGGTTGTAGCTTATTCTGTTTGTATTTTTGCATATCTTGTCGAGATACTGGTAGTGCAGAATGGCTTTGTGTGTATTACTCCTGAACTGAAGATAGCCTTTTACCAAAACATGTATAAGAGCTCGTCGTCATGGGCACCACCAGCGTTGTAATGAACATAATGCAAAACGGGCATGCATGTGAGAGGTTGTATGCTGTCCCATAGCTCGACAGACCATTCAAATATCCAACCCCATATTGGGTGACAATCCAGTTTGAATCCGGAAGTAATTGGGTATAAGCAAACTCGGCAATCGTTAAGACCTCACTCTTAACTGGGTTCGATTCCCAGTCGGAGTGTATAAGAGGCTGTGGTCCTTCGTTTTAGTAGGAACTATCTAGGGACCGTAAATATGCTAGACACGCGTATTCTTTGTTTTTCACAGGGACAATAATATGAGGCTCCCCTTATTGATTGAATTGCGCTATTAGTATGTTTTTAGCCAAGAGGTAGCCGACAGCTACCGTAGCGTATCGGCTGTATACGTGGACGTAATTCGGGTTCGAATCCCTTCGCATGAAATGACAAAGCAATCTTGGTATCTGTTTTGTTGGAGGGAGTAAGGGTTGAAGGTGTGGCTGTTAAATTGGGGAATGAATCGACCTTGGCTTGATGCGCTGGGTTGGCCATCTGGAGATATAATCATCCGGAATGTTATCGAAGAGTGCTGCGCTCGTCGAAGGAGTTCAAAGCATGAATACTGGGCGGCAATCCAAGAAGTCATCTGGTGCCAATCGTGAAGACCTCGCTCGGACGGGTTCGAGTCCCTGTCAGAGTGTATACACAGGGTAAAGAGACGTTTTTTGTTTTATTAGGAGATATCTGGGAATTAAGTCATGCATTCCGTTATCTTCACGGGGAAGACAGTCTCTGCTTGCATCTGAAAAGAGATCATGTTTTTGTCCGAGAGAAAATAGTTTGACTGGCCATCAGTTTGTACGACTATGGTAGTGTATCAGCCATAAGTTGTATGTGGACGTAATTTGGGTTCGAATCCCGTTGTATGAATTCCACAACAATGATCGCCTGAATTGGCCCTTTTTTTGTAGTAAAAACAGTATCCCTGAAACAGGGCATCAAGTCTGGGTGCGTTTTCTAAGCGATGTACATGGAACAGCGGGGAGAGGCACAAGCATAAGTAGATCGAGGTAGACGACGCTGAGCACGCCAGATAGCTACTAGCGTTGACGGTGATGCTCACATTATGTGCGCGAAACTATGAAACGTTTTATGAAGAACAGCCGCTTTGGTGAGTCTTTCGTGGGTGGTCCACTCAACCTTTTAGTGATTCGACGGCACCATTCATGATTGAACGACTTTTTACAGGGCTGCAAAGGCGAAGGAAAGGGATTATCCTTGCTTCGCATGTTTGTAAACACGGGATCACTATGAAGCAGACGTGCTTGTCGTGACCATTTCACCTTTTGCCGGGCCCCTTGAAAGGAAAAAAAATCATGGACCCTAGGGAGAGATGAAGACGACAAGTTCATGAAAGGCTGTGGGCAACGGACTTTCGGCTTCGAGGCGGAATGGTCACGCCGCAAAGAACCTCACATATGAATTTCAGAAAACATTCATTCCAGCTGCTTCTTTCCCTGTACTATATACTCTGACAGTATACCGGCTTGGTACGAGCGCTTTCTGAACGTACCTAATAATATCTCCTACCATTTTGGACCACAAGACAAAATTGGAGACTCGGAGCGTGCGTGTGACCAGAAGGGAAGGAAGGCCCCCTACAATATACCAAATCCCTCCGCGCCTGTATCCTAGTCTGCCAAATTCACGGAGCGTAGAACAACACGCTCACATGGGGGGACACTGATTTTCCCTTCAACGTCGCGGAGAGAACACATGTGCTCTGATAGCACACCGGCCCTGTTCCCAGGTTCGAGCGGGTTCGAATCCCACTGAGAACGTAACGCAGGAATAGAGTTTTTGGCCACAACGTGAAGGAAAGACTGAAGGTGATGGCGTGGAGTATACAGGGTATCGTTTGTGCGTCGAGCCAAGAGTTCGATGGAAGGAGTACATGCTATGGACACCTCGGGTCGAGAACGTGGGTCACCGGTCACCAATTTTTCGTGAGGGTGAATGACGGTCATCACATCCGGGCCCAGGGATGGAGAATAGGCAGAGGAGAGTGGTGCAAAGGAAAACGTCTGACGTTATATCAGGTCTAACACGACATGGAAAGGGAGTCGCTGAAAATGCCAACAGTTTGTTACGACCATGGCGCAGATGACTCAGACGCGAGGAGGTCGCCATCATGCCGAGACGCTAGCATACACTGACTAGCTCGTGAAATCACCATGTCCGAATCGACGCGTCATCGTCGAGTCGACGGGGGTGTTGCTGGCATTTCCCTCTGAGCACTGGGCTGGGAAAGGCTCTCCTGCCCTAACATTGCTGGTGGCCGTGTCCAAAAGCATGGCGAGGCTGACGGAAAGTGAATAGAAGCATGTGACGGGAGAGTGAGGCCATTTTCCGTGAGGGTGATGGTTGGTCATCGGTAGGGTTAAGAAAAGGGAAAGGAGAACCGTGAGGCGTCGTCCAGACGTGAAAGTAGTAGTGCACCATGAGAAGGTCCAAACACGACGCGGAAAAGAATCGTTGTAGACACCGTGGTGCGGACGATAGGGGATCGCTCTTTCATATCGGTTGTAACCCTCCTACCCACACATCAGCATACACCGTCTTTCGTGAAATCATCAACAATCTGAATCGACGCCCAGGAATCGTCGAGTCGACGGGGTGTTGGTTTGCCTTGACTGTGCGACTGGCTTGTCCTTATGCGAAAAGGTCCTACATCTCGTCTCCTACCGCCGGTGGCCGTGTGCAAAAGCGGGAGGACCACAGTGATTTTCACGACGGCAAGTGAAGAGAAATGGTGTACGCTGTGTGCATGTTACGGTCAGCCTTATGGTAAGCGTCAGACGTGGAACAGAGCCCTACAATGGATGTGACGGGGGAAAGGCGCCGAACCGGGACTGAGCTTGATGAAGGAGAGCGACAAAGATGCGATTGCCATCAATAATACCATTCTAATCTCTGATAAGACATCGGTTAGTAGACTTGAATCCGGGTTCGACTCCCAGTCGGGGAATATGAATAAACCGTGTCATTTTATGCAGAGTCGTCTTGGGGCTGTAGCTTATCCTGTTTGTATTTTTGCATACCTTTATCGAGGAATGGCATCACACCTCGAGTGAAGGTAGCCCTTTACCAAAAGATGCAGTACGAGCTCTTGTAGCGTACCGGCTGTATCCAGGGACGTAGTGCTTCGGGTTCAACTCCCATAGAATCACTCATCATATAGCTCTAGGTTGGTCACTGTTTTTTTCTGGGGTTGTATTGGTTTTGGGGTTCGGAGAGTATCAAGGCGCCCATAGTAGTACTGTCATTGCAGTTTCAAATGTTTATATGATGTAACTGAGGAGAGAGATACAACAAGGATTGTGCTCGGATAGATGACACTAGGTAGGCATCCGCTTTAGTACCTCCACTCGTGCGAAGACGTGTAAGCGCAGGATCACTATGCGAGCTGACCGGTAGCAAAGTACGCAAAGACGTTTGTTGCGACCCTTTTCGCCTTTCGCACCATGGGTCCTGGAGAGAGATGAATACAAGTCCACGAAAAGTCTGCAGGCGACGTACTGTCAGCTGTCCAGTCGCATTTCACAATGAGCGAGCATGCACCCGTTCCGGCTGCTTCACTCCCGGCTCTGGTAGCACACCGGATACAGGTCCGAGCGAGTTCGACTCCCACTAGGGCATAAGCAAAAAGTCTGCATAGCACCGCACCGTTTTGGACCACAACACGAAGGAGGACTGAAGAGCGTGTATTTGGCCAGTGAGGGACGGAAAGTGATAGTAGAGTGCACAGCGTTATTGACACTCGGTCCCTACACTGGTCCACAGTAATAATGCGAGTTTCTGACAGTATCCCAGTCAGTCGAATCCACCAAGCGGAAGATGGTACACTCACATGGGGGTACCCATGTCCCTTCCCTTGCTTCCCATCGATAGCTCGCTACACCCAAAGAGCGAGTTCAAAAGGAGAATACGGCAGATCACAAGAGGAGAGATAAAGACACGAAGGATTACGGCAGCTGTCGGTTTCGAGGAAGAGATTCTGCATGGTGAGCTCCGCCGATGTCAACGAGGAAGACTTGAAACGCAGTTAGCACAAAGGCGAATAAAACCTGGGGGACACCGCGAACCTCTGCTGATAGACCATCCTCCTTCTGCGCCCAACCCAGCATACATCGACAATTCCTCCTCGAATCGGGCGTTGCCATCTCAACTGCGACCGGCCTCCCTTCCCCTACTGGTCTCGCGCCCCTCTTCTTGCTCATATCGCAGCCCCGTCACGGATGCCAAAATCGTAGGCGCCTTGATTTTGGTCGACCACGCAGCGAACGCGGATGGATCAGAACAATTAGTAGAGGTCTGGTGAGCTGGCATGGTGGTCGAATATTGAGCAGAGCTATACGACGCGTTGTGGGTGAGAGCAAGTTTCCAAAATGGTTTCCTTCACCCGCCAGATATAGAATTCGTAATCAACATAAAAACATCTGAGATGGTGTATCGCTTAGTAGACGCACGTAATTCGTGCGAAATCTGGGTTCGACTCCCAGTCAGAGAGTTCTGTCCTCCATTCATTTTGGAAATTTTAGTACCACTGCTTTCTTGAAGTTCATTATTTAGACTTTCATGCTACTAACCAGTATTAAGTCATTCTACTAGGGCGGGCGGTCTATGTGCTCTAATAGCACATAAGGTACCAGACCTGGGTTCGATTCCCCCCAGAAACATCGTTGTCAGTTTGAATTGGAGAGACTTTTTAGAACCACAGTTCAAGAACCTGCTTGGCTCGAGAGGGAAAGTCGAAGGTCACGCAGGAGTCGTCCGAGCCGGAATGGCGTACGGTAAACTAAAAAGAGCGAAAAAGTTTCACGCACGTGCTGGGTACCAGGGCCTGGTTTTACGTGTCTTTCCTAGACTGGGCTGTCAATGTTCAACGATCAATCCTGTAACTTTGAAGGTATTTTTGACGTCTACCCAGCTGTATCTGGCGCACCTGAGCTCTCGAATATATTAGATGCCTTTGTTATGCGGCGATTATGCTCCGTCGATTCGCCATTAGCCTCAGGGAAAGCCCGAGTACTGTTTGACTTGGAAGTCTCAGAAATCCTCCGTGACATTGTAATGCTTTCTTCCGACTCTCGGATTAATGTCCCCTTGGTATTCGGCCTCTTTACTGCCATCATTGTTGGTTGAGCTAACTCTAGGAACGCATCTAGCCACTTTTCAGAGACGCGGGAAATCCATGGATTGAAGAGGCACTAAGTATAAGGAGAACTTCGATCCCTTTTGGAATTCAATTCAGCGCCTGGATTTAAAAATTGGTCCTGACATCACCTTGTCGATCGCGTCACGCGTTTGAAGGCGGATTCGTGGTATAAACAATAGGTTTTTATTGAAGGTCGCTCTGTTGTTCATTCTACGAACACTCGCTTACTTCTTTCAGATGGACATCAATTTTTCGAGCTTCGTGACAAGTAAACCTACCGCACCATCTATACACTCGGCAGCAGCACGGATCATTTGCGGTCGGGAGCATCTCGGCAATCTGAAGCAGTTTATGTCCCTGTGAACTCGATGACGAAACCTAATATCTGCCAGGCCGACGAGTCTCCGGAACGTCAGTGAACGATGTTGATCAGTTACTCTGATGTCTTGCTTTGCGCACCTTGTAATGACTCTTCAGCCTCGTCATTCATCCCCAGACTTTCTCCGAGGACTATTGTATATAAACGACACCGTTCGTGTCGGAAATTTCGCTAGTCCTCTCGACACCTCAAAACAGCATGTACAGCGCGGCAGCTATCTTCGCTTTCGCCCTCCTTCGATCCGTCCGTGGTCAGCAGATCGGCACCTACACGGCCGAAGACCATCCCGTACTGACCGTCCAGCAATGCTCTGCTGGCGGCAGCTGCACCACGCAGTCCAAGTCAGTCGTCCTCGACTCCAACTGGCGTTGGCTCCACAGCACCACCGGCTACACAAACTGCTACACCGGCAACCAGTGGGATGCCACCCTCTGTCCCGACGTCGATACCTGCACTGCCAACTGCGCTTTGGACGGCGCAGACTACTCCGGCACTTATGGTATCTCGACCAGCGGTAACGCCCTCACTTTGAACTTCGTCACCCACGGAGCCAACACCAACGTCGGGAGCCGTGTCTACTTGCTCGACGACGAGAACACGTACCACCTGTTCAACATGAAGAACCAGGAGTTCACCTTTGACGTCGACGTGTCCAACTTGCCTTGCGGGTTGAACGGAGCTTTGTATTTCGTGCAGATGGATGGTGACGGTGGTAAGGCGAGGTTCCCCACCAACGCCGCTGGCGCCGCATACGGTACAGGCTACTGTGACACTCAGTGTCCCCAAGACCTCAAGTTCATTGATGGACAGGTACGTCTCTTATTTTTCACTTTTTAAAGCGACCTAAATATTCTGACAGGCGAACATGCTTAACTGGACTGGTACATCCGCCAACTCCGGTACAGGCTTTTATGGCACGTGCTGCAACGAGATGGACGTCTGGGAAGCCAACTCGCTGTCCGCGGCTTTCACGCCGCACGTCTGCTCTGGCATCACCGGTCAGACTAGGTGCTCCGGCACAGCCTGCGGTGAAGGCGACGAGAGGTACGACGGAGTCTGCGACAAGGACGGCTGCGACTTCAACTCGTGGCGTATGGGCGACGAGACCTTCTACGGCCCCAGTATGACCGTCGACACCACCTCCAAGTTCAGCGTCGTCACCCAGTTCCTCACATCCGACAACACCACCACCGGCGACCTCGTCGAGATCCGCAGGATCTACGTCCAGAACGGCCAGGTCATCCAGAACTCGGCAACGGACTTCCCCGGCATCGCCGCGTACAACTCCATCACTGACGATTTCTGTAACGCCCAGAAGACGCTCTTTGGTGACACGAACTCTTTCGAGACCAGGGGTGGACTCGCAGAGATGGGTGATGCTTTCGAGGCTGGGATGGTGTTGGTCATGAGTATCTGGGATGACTACGCTGTCAACATGTTGTGGCTCGACAGCGACTACCCCACCGACGGCGATCCATGCCAACCCGGTATCTCTCGTGGACCCTGCGCTACGACCTCCGGCGTCCCCGCTACGGTCGAGGCCGAGTCCGGCATATCCGTCGTTTACTCCAACATCAAGTTCGGACCCATCGGTTCAACATTCGCGTAAATTCGTACGCGTTCTTCTTTTTACCTCAACCTCTGCCTTTTCTTAGTTACCCCTCGACTTCGCAGATTATATCCATTGCAAACGGTGCATGTCGTCTTTCTTTCGAAAAGTTAGTGTATGATATCTCTACGCTTTCTCATTGGTTCTGATGGTTGCCGTAGAGTCTCAGTTGTTTAATACGTTTTCAACCTCTTTTTCCACACGCTCTTTGGCTGCCTCCTTTATATCATAACGACGTAACGCAGTGCAGTGCTCCTCTCATTTCTTCTACTAATACAAACCTCGCAGACGTGGCCGTGGCATTCTCTTGGTACCCATGGTTGGTAAAAGTCACATGCTGTAAGCAGTCCTACTTGGATGCGGATCTTGTACGAGCGATATCTTAGGTCTCTGTACATACTTTTCTCTAGCATGTAACAGGTGTTCATTCATATGTTGATATTTCTTCAAGTTGTATATACACATGAATACTTGTCCGATCTACTCGTCACTTGGCTTTGCGTCTCGTTTGTACATCGTTTGATGGAAGACCAGTGTCAGAAGATCTCTACCTAGATGCAGGAAAGTTGCTTCTCTCCCTTCTCAAGTATGCCTGCAGACGGATCTCTCCTGCGACAGTGAATGTTTATAAGGAAAGTGGATGTATTATATATATAATATTATATGTAGAAGAATGAAGGTCAATCAATGGCCGATAAATATTAAAATAGGAGAATGGAATGTGGTCTATTACTCGAAGCAGGTAATTGATGATGTTTGCTGACCATCTAGGACTTGGGGATGGCACTTGTGATACCAATATCTTCCCTGGAGCCATTCAACATACAATGGCCATACTCTTCATCTCTCTCTCTCCTGCTCTAACTCAGGACCATGCTCTTGGGTGACATCTTCTGAGTTGATGCCAACATCTGTCTGAGATTCTGCCAGAGTGCGATAGGAGTATGTGATCTCTCCCTCCTGTTGGGCCACCTCCAAGTCATCCTCTTGAATGCCACTGTCATAGACTCTATCTTCTCCAGAAGATGCTGGATTCTGATGGCCATACTCATGACCTATCTCCTGCTGGGATTCAAGATCAATGCTGATCATGGAATCTTGCTGAGAGCTTTGGCCTCCAGAATGTGTCCCAAATTGAAGTGAGCCTGAAATCACACTTCCCTGCCAAGAGTCATCTGGGCAAGTATGACCTGCTGCAACACGCCCAACAAGGAGTGTTGGAGCAATTCCCTATATGATGTTTGTCAGACATGAAGACTAGAAAAGATTATGAGCATACTCTTGCAACTGCTGCTAGATAGTCAAAGTATTCCTCTTTAACAGAATTATAAGAGAAAAAAGCTATGTATAGAATCAAGCATATGGAATATAGAGCTGATGATTCCACAAAGACTTCAATGATGTGATGGTAAGCTCTGATTCCACCTGCTTGACTTCCTGCTTGTACAACAGTGATGATACGATAGATGATGAGCACTGTGCACCACAAGGTTGTTGCAAGGATAAAGGATGAATAAAGTACATCACTAATGATGTATTCCTCATAGTTGGTCAGTATATCACCTTGATAGAGAAAAATAATTCTGAATGCTGTGCAAATTGTTGCATAAATTGGCCAATTCTAAGATATCTGAGAGATCTCACCAATTGCAGAAAGAAGAAAAAGTACAGAAGGCAGAATGCTCAGCCAGTGCTGACCCCAGACTATCCAACAGCGCCAAATCTATATTGGAATAATGGTAAGCTGCATTACACTCTATTATTATCACACACACCATAGTGGAATCTGCTAGAATAGTACAGATAATAGATGTTATGCCTGGAACAATGACTGTTATTGCTGTAGGACTCTGGGAGAACATATATGCTGTCAAAAAGCTTTGTCCATTGTCTATAAAGATAGAATGGATGATTGACCAATTGAAGGCAAAGATGATGATGGTGACAATGTAGAGGAGAGTTATAACAACAGTGATGCCAATTTGTCTGATGTGCTGGGACTTGTTTATAACTGTGCCATTCACTTCAGCTTGTGAAGTATAGTAGACTTGGATACATTCTTCTTACAGATATTCCACAGTGTGAAAGCAATGGTTCCAGTATATAAGCCTGTGTAAAGCTCTGATTAAATGCATGTATCTGAACAAATAAATATACATACCATTCAGTAGAGAGAGGAGTATCATTGAATTCAGTTCAGCATCAAGATATTGGTATATAAAATCTCTATCAGTGTCAGTCTGATTGAACATCAAGAAATTCTGGGTGAAATGTGAAAGATAAGTGAGGGAGTAATCTGTGGATGAAACACAATTCATATCTCTCAATTATATAGCATGCAGTAGCACAGCAAAAATCTGTTGCATTGCAACAATGATTATCATATTATGATCATCTTAAATACTATAGTGAATAGTGAGATGGATTTTATTTCTGATATCAAGTAGCATTTAGCAATCTAATCATAAGATAGTAGTGAATGTCCTAGACTGGCATTGACATATTCATGACTCTCAGTTAGAGGCACTGTATTTGTGATAAGGAACTGAGTCCAGCTAGCAGCAAGGGTGCACTTTCATGTGAAATACTAAAGATGACTTATAACAAATGATCTGTAAAAGCAGCAATATGATTGACCCAATTCTCTAAGGGAGATCTTATTGCAACTTCCAGAACTCTCAGTTGTAATCCTATAGATCATCTCAAAGAGTTTTGAAACCAACAGATGGTAGGAGCATGTAATTGCTGTAATAGGATGTTTAGTCTATTCATAGATACAATTACATAGACTATTGCACTGCCTGATAAACTCAATAAAGATGTAGTCATGGCAGTTCAAAAACAACAAGATCTCAACTCCTGGTATCTTTCTCAGGTTCATCTTTCTATTTTCTCCATCCAGCATATACAGCTTGTACATCAAAGTTGAGGATGCTGGTTGTTGCTATCAAACCAAAGACCACTAGCTTGTGATAAAAATTTGAAATGAGACATATAGAGGATAACAAACTGAGTTTAATTTCTATACTCACCTTTACACCTGCTTTGATATTAGTCTATGCACCAGCTATGATGATATAAAAAGGCTTACATATAGATATTTGTCTCAGCAGAATCATAAGCACTGACCTGCCACATGATGTACCTATAGCAGCCCCAAATACATCTGCATCAACTGTACACAGCATGTAACCATTGATATCCACTCTGTTGACCATGGATTGTTCAGCTTCTGCAATAGTCCTGGCTTCAATTAATGGCAAAAATAGAAAGCTGCTCCAAATTGTGCTGTTCATTATTGAAGCAGTTGCCAAAGACTGGCTGGCCAGAATAAGACAATACACTATAAAGGAGAGGGAATCACTGAGGAGGTAACATCCTTGATTCTGCTTGTTACAGATATGAGTTTCCACTCAGAACATGATGGATTTGTTGTGTGCATCATATTGTACTCTAACACAAGAGAAGACTGGAGAGCATGGATTTGGCTAGCTAGAGAGAACATGACAACTCAGAATGTATAATCTACAGCACTATCAATTTATAAGTCCCTGTAATGACAAACGCTGAGGAGCATGTCTAATGATACTCTTGTCAGTCAAACCTACTAAATAGAGAACAGCAGTATCATAGGAACATTATTTTTCTTGCCTATGTTTCCTTCACATCAATATTTTACCATCCAGAGAGTGGGTTTTAGAACCAAAAGGGCAACTCCAGAGAGGAGGAGTAAAGACATGAAAAACCAGAGGGTGTTGGCTTTATTCCATGCTGCCAATGTCAACAAGATGGAAATGTAGTTATGACTATGGTGATGTGAATAGAACTTGTGAGATAGCATAAACCTCCACTGCTAGATAATAGACTATCCTCCTTCTATAATCAAATGTGTATCAATCTATATCAGAGACTTTTGGGTTGATCTCTCTTTGAATCAGAACATCCTTTGGTCCCTGAGAATGTCTGGCACTGAGTCTGGCATCTCTGGCTGCTATCTTGACCATATAGAAGGTCTCCTTTTCCATGGTTGCAAGTATAGTCTCTCTCTTAAAAGCATAGAGTCTTTCTATATCTTATCTATCACAGCACTGATGCTGAAATTTGTACTGTAGCATTGGTCACTGGTGAAATCAGAGTCTCCAGGCATGCAGATAGCTTATATTGAACTATGCTGTTGATGGAACAGAGTGTAAACATGCAGAACATGCTGGAATATGACACAGTCAGTGAATGTTTACTTTTTCTGGTGAGCCAGCATGGCATCAAATATTGAACAGAGTCCATACTATGATTTATACTCTAATCAATGCTCTGTTTTATGATCCAGAGCTGTATGAAAGATGCTTAGTGAAGGAGACAGTAAAATCTGCAAATGCTGCACATATCTGATAGAATGGCTTGCTGAATGAGTTGCCAGAAGTGTCATATATTGTAAAGAAGACAGGCAGAGATGAGCCTTAGTGTGAAATCTGGTGCCAAAAAACACTAACAGAGATACATATTTCTGGTTGATAGCAGCTAGTAATTTATTTTTTGCTCTGTCCTGGTCAGCAAGAATCAGCATCTTGCAAGTGTCTTGATAAGAGACTGTCCTTTGAGTTCAATCTCCTATGCTCAGATCTATGATGCAAGTATCATTCATATGAGTATGCATACAGAACAGAAAAGACTGTCTCTGTTTGATACAGAGTACATGCCACAGACATGGTTGTCAGTAGCAGTATCAGAGTATTGAGGGTCTTTATGAGGGCAAGCAGTGGCTATCAACATTCAGATGCAGAGATAGTAGAGTCAGGAGAAGGCAAATGATAGTAGTGTGAAGGAGAAGTGAAATGTTAGTATGGGCATCACTGGAACCACCATATTGTGGTATGGGTCAAGCAATGTTGTAGAACTATAGTGCCACTGTCAGTGTGAGAAAACAATAGTGTGAATGACTTAGCAAAAACAGAGATAACCAGCTTTGGGGAGGGAGGTTCTATGATGACAATATCTGTCATGATTTTCACACTTTACCTCTAAAATCATGACCTGCTGATACTTAGTAAGCTGATGCTTACCTAAGCCTGACCATGGGGAAACCACAGATGACAGCACCATGATGATACAACAAGCTGTGTCTTACTCAGCACCACACAATAAATGATTAGCAATGGCATAATAGCAGGCATTACTCTATGCCCTTTTCATAGCAACCACTGTAGCATACAATACCCTCACTGTAGCAATGACAATGATGCCCAACCAGATAGACACAGTTATTGTCATTAAAACAATGAGATAGGACCATGGAGATGAGATAATAGTTGCCTGTAGGGTGAAGGGTTTTCAGACAAGTATTTAAGGACAGTATCTTACAGTGATGTACCCCAGTCTTGAGCTAAGGTTCAATATACAGTTGACTATCTCACAATGCATGATGTCAAAATGCATAATTCTGACAATGCATATGGATTGGGCTGGAACGCAGTTGGGGAGCAGGGAAATGGGCTAGAAATGCATATCGCATAATGCATATGGTTCTAGTTAGGAATATGCATTGTCAGATCGAAAATTATAGTAAGCTGATATGATATTATGCATATATTAGAACAATAAAGAATATAATTTGTTTGTATGGACTATGACAAACACAAAAAAAATTATTATAAAGCGACACAGCCTATATCTCTATAAACATGCCTCCTGAACCAACATGAAAACCACATGCTAAACCTGGAAATCCATATGAGCATACAAAACAGAAGGAGAAAGTCCCAATGTACACATCATCAGCTCAGCCTCCAAAGCAGATCTCC